GGACCCCCCCCCCCCCTTTAATGTCTTAATGCAATATGTGTCCCCAATATAATTCATTAGGATGACCTCATCTGGAATGCGAAGGTCAATTTTGGGGGGCCAGCTCCCACAAATGATATCCTTGGACTGGACGAGATAATTGACATAGGGCATGGAGAGCCTCAGCTACCCGTTTCCCTGAAGATAAGACCTACCCCGAAAATAAGACCTAGTTGTGACCATTCCCAGGGCCGGTGGTGGCATAAGGGGGAACTTGAAGAGCCGCGGGAGAGGCGGGAGAGAATCAGCGGTGCCAATGAAGCCGGCGCTAGAGGAAGCGAGGCGGCAGCACCGGAGGGAGCAGAGCCGCATAAGCCGGTGCCTCCTCTATAGCCCCGCCTCCTGGCACAGGCGGAGTCATACCAAATGCGCTTCCTGTGAGGAATCCATAGTGAAAGCTTCGCTCATTCTGGCCAGCGATTGGTTAGCAAATTGCTCTCGGAAAGGTACGGCCCCCCTGATTGCCCCGATCACCATATTTTTGTACATGAATAAGTGCGGATTGTTGTACATTAAAGAAAAAGAAAAATAAGACCTCCCCCAAAAATAAGACCTAGTGTGTTTTTATGAGCCAAAAAAAATATAAGACCGTGTCCTATTTTCGGGGAAACACGCCAGGAGGATTGATGACATAAAACCAATTTATGAAGCGAAAGAAAAAGCGAGGCGGCAGCACCGGAGGGAGCAGAGCCGCATAAGCCGGTGCCTCCTCTATAGCCCCGCCTCCTGTCACAGGCGGAGTCATACCAAATGCGCTTCCTGTGAGGAATCCATAGTGAAAGCTTCGCTCATTCTGGCCAGCGATTGGTTAGCAAATTGCTCTCGGAAAGGTACGGCCCCCCTGATTGCCCCGATCACCATATTTTTGTACATGAATAAGTGCGGATTGTTGTACATTAAAGAAAAAGAAAAATAAGACCTCCCCCAAAAATAAGACCTAGTGTGTTTTTATGAGCCAAAAAAAATATAAGACCGTGTCCTATTTTCGGGGAAACACGCCAGGAGGATTGATGACATAAAACCAATTTATGAAGCGAAAGAAAAGAATGGCTTTAAAGGTGCCACAAAGTAATACAATTACTAAAGTGCTGATAAACAAAACGTATCTGATGTGTTACAGAGAACATCCTGGCCATTGTGAGTAGTTATCACAGAGCAAGATTGAGGGAAACAGCCGTCTATATACCTTAGCCACAGTTATGCAAGCTTGAATAGATAGTGGATTCTCAATAGATTCTACGCGTTTCGCAGAGAACGGCTTCTTCTGGAACCTTTCATAACAATCCCAAGCTGCTATGTGTCCACAAGCACGGCCAAAAAAGAGCTCCGGGTGAGGGAAGAGGGCATGAGTTGTTGCAACAGTTCCACCCCTGTAGGGGCTTTCCGGGGAGACCAGGGACGGGCTCAGTCTATGCCGCTATCAAACCGCGTCACTAAGATCCATAATGGGAAGGTGCAGTCTCCGTAGGAGCTCCCGAAGAGAGCAAGGGGTCCTCAGAAAGTGTCCTCCTTTGTGTTGGATGTCACTTCTCCTATAACAAGGAGATGGAGGCAGAATTCCGCACGCTAATTGTTTTTATTAAGGAGAGTCCCTGGCACCAAAGCCATGTAATCTGCATGTGTGGATCCCATGCAGCCCTCGATTGAGATGACGCATCTTGTGCCAACATGTAAGTCAATAAATGACCCAAACCGAATGTTCAGCTGCAGAAAGGACTCTTTACTGTACTAGAGGACAGAGCAGGTTGTTTATAACAAAGGGATGGATACTTTCCTCATGGTCAGGAAGAGGTCTTTCCGGATGTAACTATTCGCCTTCCTCTGGATCAGGTTCCCAATAAATCCGCCAGTTACCCCTCAGTGCCAGAACCTCATACCTGTGTGTGTGTGTGTGTATACTGTATATAGATATTAATGATGGTGCCAACTCCTCCTCCAGGTTCTCCTCAACGCAGAATGATAAAGATAATCTCATCCAGGAATATGAGAAGCGGGCGCAGCAACTTCAGAATAAGTATGACTCCGACATGAACTACATCACCCAGCAGAACGCCCTGTCTGCCGCTAAGGTGGGTGCTAGAATCTGTCCCTCCCCTCATTCATATTCAACTGTCTGAATCTGTCTCCACCCCCCATTTACATACAGCTTTCTGAATTAGTCTCCTCCTCCTCATTTACATACCTTTTTCTGGCCCTGACATCCCCCCCCCACTCCCCCTCATTTACATGCCTCTTTCTAGCCCTGCCTCCTCCCCCTCATTTGCATGCCTCTTTCTAGCCCTGCCTCCTCCTCCCTCATTTACATGCCTCTTTCTAGCCCTGCCTCCTCCCCCTCATTTACATGCCTCTTTCTAGCCCTGCTTCCTCCCCCTCATTTACATGCCTCTTTCTAGGCCTGCCTCCTCCCCCTCATTTACATGCCTCTTTCTAGCCCTGCCTCCTCCCCCTCATTTACATACCTCTTTCTGGCCCTGCCTCCTCCCCCTCATTTACATGCACCTTCTCCCCCTCATTTACATGCCTCTTTCTGGCCCTGCCTCCTCCCCCTCATTTACATGCCTCTTTCTAGCCCTGCCTCCTCCCCCTCATTTACATTCCTCTTCCTGGCCCTGCCTCCTCCCCCTCATTTACAAGCAGTGATGGGAGATCTTTGAGGTGTGTGGGGGTGACCCATCCCATGATCCATTCTTTCTCTGCAGGCCTCGGCTCTCATAGAGGAATTGGAGCAGAGTCTCTCCAGCACCAAACAACAAGGAGAAGAGAGGGAGCATCACATGCAGATGGAGATGAGGGTAAGCCGGGGCCCCTCGCATGGGGTGTGTGCCGTGTACAACCACCAAATTGCAGCAAATTGGTTTTCCCTGGAAATGATTATTCTGCACCCCATTGTTCATTGTGGGTGACCGCAGTCACATGATTTCTAACATTGCTGCCGAGGAAACGCTGACTGTTATCCTATAATACAACTACATGGTAAAAACACCCTTCTAGCCAGTTATAGTATATACGTTACATGTATCTATATGAGGCTCAAGTCACTCAGACTAGGAGAGGGAGGGGCAGCACATGTAGCCAATCAGGTGTCTCCTGCTTTGCACAATGCTGTTTGTTAAAATGCTTACAGGTGGAGGAGCAAAATGATGGCCTGATATGTGTATGTTGCTGCCCCCCAGCAGTATATACCTCCCCTAGCAGTATATACCTCCCCTAGCAGTATATACCTCCCCTAGCAGTATATACACCCCCTAGCAGTATATACCTCCCCCTAGCAGTATATACACCCCCTAGCAGTATATACACCCCCTAGCAGTATATACCTCCCCCTAGCAGTATATACCTCCCCTAGCAGTATATACCTCCCCTAGCAGTATATAC